CCGAGAGACCATGCTAGATTCGGAAGCAATTATAGCACGATGGATCACAAATTCACTTTGAATCAGCTGATAGAAAGTGCAAGGAAGTACTGTCTCCAGCTCACTAATTACGAAGTATTCGATAGCGCAGAGCTGACCTTATAGATGAACGGACTGATCAGAATTATGTGGATAGCAAACAAAGGTTGTTCGACTGACACAACACTTTTTTCCACTCCAATCCGTATACCGAATGACAGGAAAGTAAGGCAAGATGGTCCTATATCGCCCAAGCCTTGAAATGGTAATAAGGAAACTGGACTGGAAAGGTGGTCTGAGCCGTTAAATCACTTGCGTTTCGCGGACTATATAGTTCTTATTGCCAACAATCTCCACGAAATAAACGAGATGCTATAGGGGTTCAACGCATAAGGGAAGTGGGACTGAAAACCAATGTATGGAAAGCGAGGGTGATGCAAAGTCCTGGTTATGTCTGCAGCAAGATTATAGACAAACGATGTGGATTTGGAGGAAGTTGACAGTTACGTCTATCTCGGACAATTGAATGTGCGACACAACTTCCATCCGGCGGTTGCAAGTGGAAGGGCTGCTGGTTGGCGCAGATCCCCCAGCACCTTCGATTTCCTCAATAAACCGGAAGGACCGTGCTCATCCCTTCAACACCGCTGTGCTGAAGGCAAGACATAGGATGTGAAATGTGTTTACTGGAGAAGGCTGAACAACTGGCGCTGGTTGTAATGGAAAGAGCGATGGAGCGGAGGATGCTTAACGTGTCTTCCTGTAACCGTTTAAACAATCAACTCTTCTTCAGATGAACGGCATGCAGGATATCATTACGAGTAAAATCCGATGGGCAGGACATGTTGTTCGCCTTGCTGACAACCGGTGGACGATGCGCGAGAAAGTATGGTGAGTGGTATTCCGCGAAAGCAAGTGGTCACTCAGGTGACCTCTAAAAGAGGTGACTTACATACATGAAATAGACGGCAGGTGCTAACTAAAA